CAGCATCCTCGCGGTGCGGAGGCCCCTGGCTGGGGAGGGGCCGGGGAGGAGGAACGTGGGTGCCTGGTCGGGGCTCGGGCAGCGCGTCAGCCCCTGTGCTTTGTGCGGGGGAGCCGTGGGTGGGGGCGTGTGGCTCAGCGTGACTCGCTGATTCTGTAGCTGATTGCAGAACCTCTTGCACCTACGGGGCTAGAATCGGGCAGAGATGAGGCCAATCAGCTCTCTGCTTTCACCAGGGCAGCAGAAGCTGTTCCTGGCCTCTGCGGAGACCTGAGAGGAATCTGGGCAGATGCCAGCTGGTGGGAGAGGAAATGAGGTTTGCTTATGTTGACGTCCAGGAGAGCTGCTTTAGAAGGAGTTACATGCTCAGCTACAGCACCTGTCACCAAGGGTAGGGCCTTAGACCTTACTAGATAAACGGGTTTTAGATTTACTTTATCAGGAGAAGTGTGTGATGTCAAGTTAATCACTGGTTCTTCAAAATCTGTATTTGTAACTAAGTGAAATAAAAGGTTTGTGAGGTTCTGTAATACCACATCTGAGTTTTTTAAATGATTGAAATTCCATGAGTGCCCTGAAGGTTGTAACCCGTGATAATTCCCTTCTGCCAGCGTTTGCTGATGTCTCCTTCTGTCCTCTGCAAGGTTTGAGGCTTGTGCGCTCCAGTGAGAGCGTGTGATCAGCGTTGGTGTAAAAGAACGGCGCGGCTGCTCGCGTGTTGTGAGCATGAAATGGTTTGTTGGAGAAAATCTGTGTTATTGAACGTGAAATTCTCACGTCTTACTGGGTTTCCACGTTAGCAAACAGACGAAGATTGCACTGACTGAGTGAGCATGCGTTATTCTCTCAGCTTTAATTATAAACCACTCCCCGAGTTCGTGAGGCTGTGGAGATGTATGCACCTGCTTGAGCCGATTCAACAGCGTTCGGGCTTGGACACACAGGTATGTTCACGGTAGCATTACAGCCTGTTTATTTGTTTATTTAAAAAATCATGATAGATCAACAAGCCTGAGAAGCTGGACAAGCCAGAGAGCTGCGATAATGTCAAAGTTGTCGTTCGATGCCGGCCTCTTAATGAACGGGAGAAAGCTACGGGCTACAAAATGGCAGTCAACGTGGATGAAATGAGAGGAACTATAACTGTTCACAAAACAGACTCATCCAATGAGCCTCCCAAGACATTTACGTTTGACACTGTGTTTGGACCGGAGAGTAAACAGCTGGATGTCTATAACTTAACTGCAAGGCCTATTATTGACTCTGTCCTGGAAGGATACAATGGTAAGTGCCTTGTTTTCAGTCAAGGATCTCCTCTCCTGCTCTTTGCTTTGTTAAGAGTTCCTGCTGTTGTTATTTAAGGGAGTTTCACCTGAGGGCTGTACCCCTATCTTGTTTCTGTTGTGGCCTCTAACTTCAAATAGCCTGAAGGTACTTGCTGTTCAGAGTACTTGGTGGCTGTACCTACTACAATCACTAACAGTGGGAGATTGGTGACGAACGAGACTTGGCTGAGGTCAGGTAGCTTTTTGTTTTTGTTCTCTATCTTCCATTTGCAAAAGATATACGCTTTATCTCATTGTCAGAATTCTCAGCGGCTCTTCACTGTACAATTTCAGTAACCAGGCAGCTGCCACGGTCCTGCTGTAACTAGGTACGCATCCCAGACTTGTGCATATAACTGCTGCGTTTTCTCCTCTAAACCTTGCTCTTGTAAACTGACTAGTTACACACCTGCCCTACCCCACAGATAATCTGTTGCTTCCTACAGCTGGGAAGTGTGACCATGATTTGCGTGTATCTGTTATGCATGTAAATGTGTTATGTAAAGGAAAGCAGGTGCTAGTAAGGAAACAAGTGACTGCTTTCCGTAACAGTATGCTATAAACAACAGACTACAGAGTTTTTCAGGGTTTGTAAAAGGCCTAATAAGCTTTTGTGCTAACACGCCCAGGTTTCAGCTGATTAAAAATCAGCTTTTCTGAACAGTGATGTCAGTGGCTTGACAATTAAAACTTGAGTTTTCAGCAGTGCTAGACTAAACTGAAGAACCAGTATATTTCTGGAGTACCAGAGCCTGGGATCCCAGTAAATTTTCTGGATGTCTTCCTCTGCAGGCTGATTATCTAGTCCAAATTGTAGCTGCTTCTGCAGGTTCCCAACTGGGCTTGTGCTGTGGCCTGTGTTGTAGAAGCCTCACACTGTTTCTGCTGTGGCTTAGAGCACTAGCAACGGTTGGTTTTGCAGTTGGTATATAATGGTCTTCCTCTGATTGACCGTGTTATTAATTGGGCTTGCAGTAATGATTTGTGTGTGAGACCTAAGTGTACTAGCACTTCATACTTTAATTGTTCTGTGCAGTAAAAACAAGCTGACTTTTATTCAATATCTTGCAGGCTGGATAAAAACAGTGACTCAGCCTCCTTTACTGTGGCTGTCCAGAATTTCTGTCCTAGCCTTGTGCAGTATCTAATGGAGTGGATGGAAAGCATCAGCTCTGTAAACCCAGAGGTGTTTAGTGCCATCAGGCTAAGAAGGCATAAAGTAGAACTGCAGTTAGCAACTTCTCAGAGTTTGCTCATATATCTTCTTATCCTTCAGGTACAATTTTTGCATATGGCCAGACTGGAACAGGCAAAACTTTTACCATGGAAGGAGTCCGAGCAGTTCCTGAGCTGAGAGGCATCATTCCCAATTCCTTTGCCCATATATTTGGTCACATTGCCAAGGCAGAGGGGGATACGAGGTAAACAGCTTCTCTTTGCTGCCTCTGTCTTCTGTGTGTCTATCTGTCCTAGGAGCCTGACCTTGGCAACAGCAACTGCAGCGGGACCCCTAAAGACTCCTACTTAGGCAGTTCTTGCCCGGGTAGGAGGATTGTGTTGGTATGTTTGTTGGACTTCAACAAATGTCTCACTAAGAAACCTACCCAACTGTCTGTCTTCAGGTTTTTAGTTCGTGTGTCTTACCTGGAAATTTACAACGAGGAAGTGCGGGACCTGCTGGGTAAAGACCAGACACAGAGGTTAGAGGTGAGCCCGTGGCCCGAATGTGATGTTTGTGTTGAATCAGTGAGTAGTCATGTTTTCAAGGGTTTGTGTGGTCTTTAAGGGAAGTGGGAGGATGAGCTCCTCGGCACACGTGCAGGAGCTGGATATCACTACTGATGTCAGAGTTCGTTCCACTTGGTCAGTTGTACAGTGAGAAACTGGCTGTTCCATCTGAGTCAGTTCTGTGCCTGCAGCTCTACCCCTGAGGCCCCTCAGTCTCTCTGGGAACTGGAGACTGAGATTTGAAGTCACTGGGACAGGTTGCCCAGAGAAGCCGTGGATGCCCCATCCCTGGAAGTGTCCAAGGCCAGGCTGGATGAGGCTTGGAGCAACTTGGTCTAGTGGAAGGTGTCCCTGCCCATGGCAGGGGATGGGACTGGGTGGGCTTTAAGGTCCCTCCCAACCCAAACCGTTCTGGGATTCTGTCTGCCACCAGCAGAATATTGTCCTGTGTGAGACTATTCCTTAGCTGCTCCGATTCTGAGCGTTGGAGCCAAAACCCAGAAGAGTAAATCACTGTTGCAGTACTACTGACATTTGCTGTTGGGGATCTCCTAAGGGTGCTCAGTCTAAACTTTTTCTCTTAGGTTAAAGAGAGACCTGATGTGGGAGTTTATATCAAAGACCTCTCAGCTTATGTTGTGAACAATGCAGACGACATGGACAGAATCATGACTCTGGGACACAAGAACCGTATGTAGCCTTGCTGTGGGTGCATTTATGGCTCGGAAGAAAGGTCTGGTTAGGAGACCACAGTAAGAGATCCTAGTCCTGATGCTGGGAAGATTGTTCAGCTGGGCAGACCAAAAGGACTGTCTCCTCCCAAACCCCTTTTGTGCAGGGACAGGTAAAGAAGGCTGTGCCTCCCACGTCAGGCAGTGCCGGGGGGAAACGGCAAAGGGGAGGATGCAGTGAGCATCATTGCATCATCAGCATTGTCAGGACTAGTGTGGGTCTTGGTTCTTTTCCCTCTTCAGTTCTGATCAGGATGAACAACTAGCCCAGTGCTGGGAGTGGGAGGGGGTTTATGTTTTCTGAAAGACTTCTTAGTTAAGCTCAGACCCTTTTTTGACTTAAGTTCTGATTACTGTTGCTCTTGGCATGGATTGCTGTGTCCGTTTTTCTCAAAATATAGCTGTTTTCAGGGATCAGCTGTGAAGGCCTTAGGCTACTGGTCTTTGTAGCCTTAAAGAACTAGATGAGAACTACTGCTGCTCTTGGGATGTGAGTCTGTGGTTGGTCTAGAGCTACAGCAGGCTGCAGCACTTCTGCTAGTCCAGACTGGGGATGTCCTACAACTTCCGTGCCCAAGAGTACGGTTTGGGTCTGAGCATCCCTTTTCCTTCTTGTGAAAAACAGGGTTGGGTAAAGAGATGAGAATAAGTCTCCTTTGAGAGCAGGAAGAGTGTTACAGGAGCAGGAGATTCCTTCTGACAACACCGCTGCCTTTTCTCTGTTAAAAGGTTCTGTTGGTGCCACAAACATGAACGAGCACAGCTCCCGTTCACACGCCATCTTCACCATCACTATTGAGTGCAGCGAGAAGGGGGTTGATGGAAACATGCACGTGCGCATGGGCAAACTTCACCTTGTCGACCTCGCTGTAAGTAGGACCAGCGCGGTTTGCCGTAACGCGTGGTGGGCAGTGCCGCTCACGTATGCACTGTTGAGGGCATGGGAAAGGGCGTGTTCCCATGTCTCATAGTTTTAATGCTTGACTTCTGTGAGTATTCACTTGTGCTCTTAAATCAGAGGTTTACCAGAAAGTCTTGAGTGTAGCTAGAGCCTCTCCCAGTAAAAGGTCTCTTGCTTCTATAAATTAATCATTAAATGGATCAACTACATTGGAAAGAGCCCTCTGGACAGCAGAACTGGGTCTTTGCAAGAGCAGTTTGGGTTTTTTAGAGGGTTGTGACTGTGCAGTTCATCACTTGCAGGTTCCCTCCCTCTGTCACTCACTTTGAACCTGTGCTGGTAAAATGTGTCTTTAGCCCAAACTTTTAAGGGAGAAGATGCAGGAAACGGGAGACTTGAGGCATTTGGTGTTTCCATGTTAACTTTATTTACATGGTGTATGGTTAGGTGGCTCTGTGAAACTCTTCAAAAGTAGTTAGTGTTGCTTTTCTCCCTAGATCTGCTGGTAGGAGAGGCTGGAGTGGTGCTTAGCAGCTCTAGCTGAGGCACCTCATCACTGCTGACTTGCTTCTCTTAAGATCTTTGTGCCTGGGAACAAAATCTCTGCCTTCCCAGCTGCATTATGTTGGGCAATCCAGAAGTTGCTAGCACAGCTCCAGTTAAGATCTCTAACAATGTCTGAGGTGCTTAGCCAGGTTTTTGAACAGAAGAGGTGATGAGTGACATGGCTGCTAGCAAGACTTGGGGTGTAGTTGATCCTCTTTGGAGGAAGATGTATTGCAACTCCTGCTTCTGCTTCCTGTTCCATTTCCAGGGTTCTGAAAGACAGGCAAAAACTGGAGCCACGGGGCAGCGACTGAAGGAAGCTACGAAGATCAACCTCTCTCTTTCCACGCTGGGGAATGTTATCTCTGCGCTGGTGGATGGCAAGAGCACCCATGTGCCCTACCGTAACTCCAAACTTACACGGCTCCTTCAGGATTCCCTGGGGGGCAACTCCAAAACCATGATGGTAAGCTGAGAGAGGCCTTTCCTGTGCCAGCTATCGAGCTGTGTTTTTACAGGGGTAGCAGTGACTTTGCCATGAGAGCAGCCTGGCATTTAGCTCTTTGTCAGAGCTGTTTGCAGCTTGGAGAACTGTATGTGCTTTTTCTCTTTTCTCCTTGTGTCTGCACTGATGCAGTATAAATGTCCATGTGAGATTAAGTAGAAGCTGTGCTTGGGTAGCAGCTTTGGTGTAGAAGCAGCAGGAGAGTTTGGAAGAGTGTAGGAGTGAGTCTGGCAGAGCTGGGGATGGGTCTCTGAAATTGCATCTTCTGGGCTCTGAAGTTCTGTTCTCCAGTAACCTGGTTTTTTGTGTCACAGTGCGCAAACATTGGTCCAGCAGACTACAACTACGACGAGACCATCAGCACTCTCAGGTATGCAAACCGAGCCAAGAACATAAAGAACAAGGCCAGGATTAACGAAGATCCCAAGGATGCCTTGCTGCGCCAGTTTCAAAAAGAAATTGAAGAGCTTAAGAAAAAACTGGAAGAAGGTGAGATTCCCATTCCTCCCCCTGTTTCTCTCCATACCAGCACATGTTGGAGCATGAACATTCTCTGCTGTGTGAAGATGTCATGTGAGTCCCGTGGCTGGTTGGTGTCCTGGTTTTTCGGTTCCAGGAGGTGCCCACAGACAGCGGCGTGGGTGGGGACCCAGTGTCTTTCCCCACTAGATGGCACTTGGCACCAGGATGAGTGGCTTCTGGGCTGAGTTAGGTGTGCCCAGGCTTGGCTGGGGAGCAGGAGGGCGCTGGGCACGGCGTAGGGAGCTAAAATGTACCCTAACAAAAGGTCAGATGTCCCCACTAAGGAGGAGGGATGCGTTGTCTTGGAGAAAAAGGAACCAAGGTTGTGGAGCTAGAACTGGGGCTGACTTCCAAACAATGTGTAGAGAAACAAGAAGCTTCTTTAAAGAAGCAGCCTGTAACTTCATGGCCTTGTGACACTGTTAGTCCATCATCAAAGGACCCTGCCAGAGGGATGCCTACAAAACAGTGACCTTGGCTCCTCCCTCTCCAGGGATACTGTGACAGCCGTGCTGCGAGCATCTCTAGCATCGCTCGCTGTTTGCAGTCTGCCCTGCCAGAAGCAGCAGGAAAGGATCAATAGCTCTCTCTTCAGGTCCTGGGAGCTGCGTGTAGCTGCTCATCCCTGGAGAGCTGAAGGTGGCTTCTTAAATCTTAGTCTCGAAGTCACAGAATGAACAGCCTTGTTTTCTAACAGTACTGGCAGGCTGGCATGTTAAATGTTGGATTCTGTTCAGTTTGGTCTCCAGACTCTGCCTGCAACACCTTAGCATTGTGTCTCTGGTGGCAGCAGTGATGTCCAGTGGCACAAATGTTTATTTTTCTCAGTTAAGTGCCATCTAGCTTCATGTGTATGTGTGTCTGATTAAGTACCAAGTCGATGAGCTTTGACACCTGACCGCTTCCTCTTCCATCTGGGGTGGAAGAGAAGCTATGAGGAGATCCTGCTAGGAAAAACTTTGTAGCCTAATGGTTCTGCAGTGCAAGGATACTTTTATTTCCCTCCAAAAATCACCAGCATGGTATTTTAATGTCTGTGCACTGACTTTGAAGCATTAGATTGCTTATTTTGATTTTCTTTGTTTCCTGAGCCATGGCAAGCTCTCTGCTCAACAGTCCCTGACTTCTGCAGGGACTTTTCCCAGCGCCGATGTCAGACACTGCTGGGTTTGGACAAATGCTGCTACTGCAGTAACAAGCTGTATGAGGTGAAGGAAAGCACATCCTAAAGCATGCTCTTCTCTTCTAGGGGAAGAGATATCTGGCTCCGAGACCAGTGATTCTGAAGAGGAGGATGAAGATGACGATGGCGAGGTTGGAGAGGATGGGGAGAAGCGGAAGAAACGGCGGGGTAAGACAGAGATGCCCATCAGTGCCCCTCATCTCCTCATACCCAGCAGCTGGTGTCAGACACTGTAGCCAGAACCAGGCGGGGAAAAGTGGTGTTGTAGAGCTGCTCTACTGCCGCTGCAATTTATCATGCCTCTCCCAGAAACGAAGGTATCTGGTGCCGTCTCCATGGACAGACAGCTCCGAACCCGTGTAGTATCTGCTTCCTCTTGGGTAGTTGTGCCTGTGGTAACGCCTTTTGCGGCGGCTCCCTGGTTGCCCCAAGGTGGCTGCGTATGGCTTGTGGAACTTTCCCTGCTCACAGAGGTGGGAGGAAGAATGCACCAAAGATCAGTGGTAGGGTGAATGCTTGGAGGGGAATTTTGGCTGTGGTTTAGGCAAAGGATTCATCTGTCTTATGGATGTTTGGTACCTGACTCTTTTTGTACCCTATTTCATGTTGATAAAGGAAAAACTAGACATTTGGGTGTCGCTCCGCTGTCTGAGAAGCGGAATGGGGGTGGCACATCCCTTGTTTGGGAGCACTCCAGAAACCCCATGGTGAAGTTTGCTTTGTCCTGTGCCAGTGTTAAGCTACCACGTAACATCTGAACCCCAAGGGATGTTGCTGCACCTGGAACTGCAGGTCACTCTGTACTGTGGGATGCTGTGGCTTCCAGGGAGCTTGCTGTGCCCCTAGAACCTCTGATGTTTCTTCGTGGGGAGTAGAGAAGTCCAAGCCCAGTGCTGAACCTCAACTTCCAGCTTTTCTGGTGAACTTAACTTTGACATTCAGGCTGCCTTCCTGTCCTGAACCCACATCTGTTAAATAACAATCTTGGCAAAGCATTCCTCCTTTGGATGCACTCTCTTTGTTTTGGTATCTGTCCAAGTAGAGTCCTAAATGACCTTTGTCACACCTTTGGTCACAGCTGTAACGACTTCTACTTCAGTTTTTCACCCTTTGGTAATTTCTAGAAGCAAAAAGCTTGACTGCTGTCTCCAAGAACCAGGTTCTGCCCAAAGCTCCTCCCCAGAGAAGACCACCTTCAGAATCCTGCTTGAAAGGAGTAGAGGGCAAATAAACTGACTTATTCAACTTCCAAACAAGCTGCTGTAATTAAGGGCCCTAAGTAAGGGTGCTGCTCAGCAGGAGTCCGCAGCCACTGCCCAAATCTGAGCCGATTCTGCCTTCTAGAGAGGAAGGTGCTCACAGTCGTGTACATAAGACTGGAAAGGACTCCTGGTTGCTGAATCCTCTGCTACTGCAGATACCCACAGCCTTCTCCACTGTGGTCTGGTTTTCTGTGCTGTTGTTGCTTGAGATGGAAGCTGCCTTGGCATGCTGATTTAAGCTGGAGGCTGGTAACGGTGGGTTTTAACCGACGTGTCTTTCTGAGCATGCTGTTGTGTGCTGGGGAACGGTGGCTTTGCAAGCTGAGGCTGGGAGGGAGCCTAGCAAATGCTTTCTAATGGGAATTTGGGCCTTTTCGAACTAGGTTGCTGGCCCTTCTGGGTTTCTTTCCTTTAGAACTAACTTCCCACCTGCATGTTTCTTCCTCTCTGGGTTTTTCTGTGGGACGCATTTCTGTTTTCCAGGCAGTAGCAGCAGCAGTAGTTCAGACTCCACATGCTCTGTCATAGAGAAACCTCTGGATAAGTCCTTCACTAGTGAGTGGGAGCTCTTAAGTCCTTTAAGCTTTGACCTTTCCATAATCTGCACACTCCATCTTGCAATGCCGCACTCTTCCCCGTTATGTCCGTCGGAAAGATAAACCCAAACCTTGAACTCTGCTGAAGCATGCCTTTCCTTTGCCGCTTCCATGCTCGAAACAGTTGTCCAGTGTGCATGTTCTCAGCCAGAGGTGTGGGAGAAGAGGAAGCAATTTAGTATGCTGCTTGAACAGGATTTCAGGATAACTGCAGAAGGATAGGTTGAGTTGCAAACTGTTGGGGTTTTTGTGTTGTTAAACACTCCCCCTAAAACATCAGGGAAAAGTCTGAGGGGACTTTGTAGTGGAAGTTGTTACAACAGGAGCTTGTGAAGGCAGCTAGGCAGGTGAAATGGGTTGTGCTATACTGTGTTGGACTCTGCCCTCTCGGATTCAGAGAGGATGAATGGAGCAGCGAACAGTCAACCAACACAAGGTTTATACTTGCAAACAAACCATGGTAACACTTGGTTGGTTGGTTTTATTTGGGCAGATACTTTAAAAAAAAAAAAAAGCCTTGGTGGTGGTTGGTTTTTTTTAACACCCCATGACATTAAGTTCTTGGTCATTGTGGGACTTAGTTCAGAGGAACGAGGGATCTAGATTGTGGTCTAGCAGTGAGGCAAGTCTGGTCAGAGAGGGCTCTGTCCCTTAAAAACCTGCAGTCAGTGATGACTGAAGAATTAAACTGCATCTGGGGACTTTGCCCAGTGTTGTGGGTATCCTGTGCGGATGGAGATCACTCTTGTCCCTATGTGGGGAGAGTTGGGAAGTCTTGCTGCGTAGCTGAACTTCAGTCAAATTAGACTTGCTAGTGGAAAGCATCAGCTCAGAGAAGTGTGGTGGCAGGTTAAGCAGGATCACACCCTGAGGGGTTGTATGAGGGTAGGCTTGGAATCTGTCTGCTTCAAACGTGCTCTTTCAAAGCTTGCTCGACACCCAAATATTTTATTTGCATGAGGACAGTTAATAGCCAGCTGCTGCGGTGCAGGGGTGGATGAGCCCATCTCCTGCACATTTGGAGACAGCTCTGTTGTGGAAGTTGCACAGGGCTCTTGAGGAGGAGGAGAAGCGTAGCTGTGTGTGGTTTGGGATATTAACTGTCCTCCAGCGTTGCCCTTATGCATGTGGTGTCTTTCATTGTGCCCTTCCCGTCCTGCCTTTTGCTGCACTTGCTTGAATAACCCAAACTGGCTATTTACCTCTATGGAAGCATCAGTTACTGCCAACCCACCTACTAATACCCTGTGTGAACAGAGAAATCTTGTGCTGAGACTCCCTGTGTGCAACTGTCATGTATCCTGCAGAGAATTGGCTGGGAAACTTGGTTAAAACTTAGGACGAGTCTTCTGTACGCTAATACCTTGCAGGTAAAGTGACAGAATTGGCTGACTTGAGCGAGGTGGGGGGAACCTCTCGTTGAGGGAGAAATGGACCCCCTTCGATTGTTCCGTAGGGCGTGATCTTTGCGGCAGGCTCTCTACTGTTACGGCGACATTCTGCGTCGCACTGGGTGGGCAGAAGAGCGAGCTGAAGATTATCCTGGATGTGCAAAGCACTCTGAAGTACAGAAACGTTCTCTGCTTTAGCATAAAATCACGATGCATTCATGTTTGCTCCAATCGAGTGGTTTTAGCGATGATTGTTCCGGAAACGCGCGCACAAACGTAATGCTTGTTCTGATGCTGACGATCTCTTGTCCAACATGATCAAAGCAATAATTTATTTTCTTTCCTCCTCTTTTTATGTGTATGCTGCCTCTCTGCGACTTGCTTTCTACTTCCTCTTAATGCAAGATCAAGCAGGTTGGTGCAATTGATTTCCACCTTTTAATACAATTGCAGAGCTTGGGAAAGGGTCCTAAGACTTGGCTTAGTTCACCTTTTTCTCCTAAATTGAGAAGACACAGGGCTGTGTCCTAACAGTAAGAAGCCTTTATCTGGCTTATCTCTCTCTGTATGATGATCTCCGTGCAGCGCTTTCAGAAGGCTTCTTACTCAGGCTAATTAGTGAGAGATTTTTTTCACCACAGATCCAGAAATAACTGTGTATTATCTCATTCCGAACTAATTATATTCTTGTGTGTGTGAACAAATGTGCATATGGATATGTGCAGGCATGCTTACAAATACAGTGCAACTTACCTGTCTGCTGGAGGTCGTATGTGTGTATAAATAAAGCTGTTTGCCATGAATGCTGGAGGGAAGGGAGGCCTTTTACTTTACAACTTTCTTGAGCATGTTCTGACCATATGCATTGTGTAACTGAAAAACAGTCTCTTGACAGTCAGTGTTTTCTGTTAGTTTCCAGGCATCTGGATTCTGTTTTTTGGGTTTTGTTGTTGTTTTTGTTGGGTTTTTTGGTTTGGGTTTTTGTTGTTTTTTTTCCCTCTGGAACAGAGAAACAAAGGAAGAAAATGAAGGATTCACTTGTGATTAAAGGGAGATTTAGGGCCTGTGGGAGGCTTGTGGATTTGAGGAAACGCAGTAGGCTGGGCTGACTCGCACTCCACATAACCCCCAGAGGAACTCTGTGTTCCCCTGCCTCCGGCACTCTTGGGGTTGCAATGGAAGTTGACTCAAGACTTGCAGAGTGACTTCCAAGAGCAGCAGCCTCACTCTGTTCCAAAATCACAGGAGTTTGGGACCAACTGTTGAGGCCCATAAGTTCAAGGTGTTGCTGACCACTTCCTTTGTAACCCTCTCTGAAATACACCTGGTGTGCTGTAAGAGTATTTACACTGGACTGGGACAAGTGAGAAGTCACAGCAAAGCTCCATACTTTCAGATCAGCGGGAAGTCACTGTTCCATAGATTGAATACCATCAAAAAGTCTCTTTAATGGCCTGTTTTTTCATAGGGCTGTTCTGAATTTCCTCAGTCTGTGGGGAAATTTTTATAGCAGTGTATTCTTAAAATATCTACGTGCTGACTCTGCAATAGGTGAGCCCTTAAGGAGGGCGATGGACGAGGGGTGTAGGGTGGGGATGCTAATCTGACATTTGAGCAGTAACTCTTGGTAGCTTGGTTCTTGTAGCTCCAGGTCAAGGCAGTCTTCTGTCTGTCTTCATTTAGCCTAACCTACGTAGTTAGAACATCTGAGTCCAGCCTAGACTTCTCTTCAGGCAGTGTTCCTTCTCCAGGTGTTCTTTGTGTGTGTCCTGTTTTGGGGGCCTCATGTTAGTCGTGTCACGTTCCTTCTCCATAGGAACTGGTGACAACTGGCTGATGTTAAAATGGGATTGGAAAGACTTGAGTTGTGCCCAGCTTGGAGCTGACATCTAATTACATTTTCTTAAATGCAGCTAATTGAATCTGAACTTGGAAAAAAAAATCCTGTGATACAGAGGCTGTCTTATTTTTCTTTGAGCTAAGTTGGTTTCCCTATCTCTTCCAAAGGCAAAAAGAAAGTTTCCCCTGATAAGATGGTAGAGATGCAAGCAAAGATTGAAGAGGAGAGAAAAGCTCTTGAAACTAAACTTGATATGGAAGAAGAAGAAAGAAATAAAGCCAGAGCTGAACTGGAGAAGAGAGAAAAAGACTTGCTTAAAGCTCAGTGAGTAGCCTGCTCCGAGCTCTGGGTTTTTCCTTCCTTAATGTCCAACTCGGATATCTGGGGATGTGAGGTGAGGTGCCTGTCAAGCTTTGTATCAACTGAACTTCAGCTCCTGCTATTCTCGCAGTGAAAGAGGAGCTCGCTCTGCTCCTTTAGAGCAGATGGAAGAGACAAACTTTATCCTTTTGCCACTTCTTTCTTGTTTGACCTTTATCCAGTTGTGCAGGATAGCCTAGAAACATAAAGGAATCCTCCAAACTCCTCTGATCACTCCCATTTCTGCAGCTGCCTCTGGGCATAGCTGTGCTGGCAGGGCCCTCGGGGAGGGGGGTGTCTTGGGTAGCCTGGCTGTGTCCTGGTGACTTGCAGCCCCTCAAAGAGGGGACTTGCAGCAGAGACACTTCTCTGCTCACCTTGTTTGGCTTGTGAGGAAGCAATGGGAGCTGGAGCTCAGGGAACTCCCTGCACTTACTTGCACTGCCTCAGCCCTACTAAAGCCACTGGCAGCAAGACAAGTTTTTCCAGCCCCGTGAATGCTGTCTGGGCTGTAGAACTGCTGGACCTGCTGCCTTGCGAGCACTGTAGTTAGGAGGTTTTTCACTTGTCTCTAGACAAGAGCACCAGTCCCTGCTGGAGAAACTGTCTGCACTGGAGAAGAAAGTGATTGTGGGAGGAGTGGACCTGCTGGCAAAAGCAGAGGAGCAAGAAAAGCTACTGGAAGAATCCAATATGGAACTGGAAGAACGAAGGAAGAGAGCAGAACAGCTTCGCAAGGAGCTTGAGGAGAAGGAGGTGGGGTTACCTGCTGTAGCTGTCCGAAACCAGCCATGGCAGGACACTGCGTGTGCCTTGGTGTTGCTTGTGTGGATGAAACGTGGCTCCGCTCCAAAAGCAGAGCAGAAGCGAACCGCTTCGGGGGCCACGCGTTGGCAGTGCTCAGGTGTAGGGCCGTGCCGTGGCTGTGGGGCTGAGCCAGGTCTCCCTGCCCTTGGCAAACGCTTTGTTTTGTCCAAGGTAGTGTCTCCTCTTGTTCATACTGTTGCAGGTGATTTCTTTGACTGTGTTAATGTGCTAAATTTTGCACGCAGCAAGAACGCTTGGACATCGAGGAGAAGTACACCAGCCTGCAGGAAGAAGCGCAGGGGAAGACCAAGAAGCTGAAGAAAGTTTGGACCATGCTTATGGCTGCAAAATCGGAGGTTAGTGTCGGAAGTCATCAGCCTGTGATGTGAGAGACTGTAGCTGGGGAGGGAAAGCCGTCAGCTTTAACACTGGAAAAAGGGCCACACGGTTTGAAAGGTCTTTCTGAGCTGTCCATCTGGCTCATGTAATTCAGAAAGGTCGGTCTGGTGTCGGAGCATCACAGGGGCGTGTTGTAGAGCTTTTCCCCAGGCTGAGGGGGTTTGTGTGAGACCCTGAGATACTCAAAACCTCGAGGAAAAAAGGCTAATTTGGGAAACAAAACACAAGTTTGCTGGCAACCCGATTTCCTGCTTTGCAGCATCCCAAATGTTCCTCTGCTCTTCAGGCCCTTCTGCCTGTTGCCGTCATTATCTCCTGCTCAATCACACTAGATCAGTGCATCCTTTGGCTGGTATCTCAAGTTCCTGTTTCCTAAAAAGGCATTTTGCCTTTGGCATCTGACATTTTCCTTGGAATCTTGCCAGGGATATAACTTGTCTGCACACTCTTCATCTGCTCTTTGCTGGTTCAGAGCTTGGATTGGCAGAAGGCCAGTTTTGTTTTGATGAAACAGAACTTTGTGCTCTCTTTCAGCCATCTCCGAGCTGGAACGCTTCAGAGGGTTTATTCTTCAGGGATAAATATTCTAGTACTTATAGCGGAGTTTGCTTTTCTTACCCCGAAAACTAACGCAGGCAGTAGACCGTTCTCTTAAGCTGTTGCCATGTCTCCTGAGCCAGCTCTGCCTCTCAAATGCCTGGTTTGTCTCCAGATGGCAGATCTGCAACAAGAGCACCAGAGAGAGATTGAAGGATTACTAGAGAACATTCGGCAGCTGAGCAGGGAACTCCGTCTTCAGATGCTTATCATCGACAACTTCATTCCTCAGGACTACCAGGTATGGCCGAAGAACTCGAGCCTGGGATGTAGGACTGTGCTGCGCTCTCTGGCCTTTCTGACCAACAGATGGAGCGAGTCGGCTGCTTGTCTCTTGGTGAGGTGTTGACAGTGGACTGACTGACGCTTGTCTGTTGAGTTGTAGCCCAAACGAGTTAGTGTGTTGCCGTGAGCCTCCATTTGTCGAGCATTCCAAGTGTAAACAGGGCCTTTTTAACGTGGAATGGCTGTACTGAACGTGTATTGTCTGTAACAATTCCTGCTTTAATTTCTTTCTAGGAAATGATTGAAAACTACGTTCACTGGAACGAGGACATTGGAGAATGGCAGCTGGTAAGCTCGCTGACGCGCTCACCTACAAGCTGACGTTAGTGCAAGCTTCTGACGAGTTTAGTTGAGCCCAGAAGTCAATTAATAAAGCTGTAGTAGTTGGTTTTACTGTGTGTAGGTTTTACTAACAGACCTTTTTCTTTCTTTAAGAAATGTGTTGCGTATACAGGAAACAACATGAGGAAGCAGACGCCTGTCCTGGATAAAAAAGAAAAAGATGTGAGTGACTCTAAGCACGTGCGGAATGGCGTAGGCTGACGTTCTGCCTGTGCCTACCCTGCGTAGCTACAGGGAAACTGTCCAATTTTCCAGTCTTTTGACAAAACGAGCCTTTCTAGTGTTACAAAAACACCCTTGAGTGTATGAAATGATTCTGATGGTTTGGGGTTTGTTGGTTTTGGTTTGTTTTTTTTTTTTTTTAGCCCTTTGAGGTGGACCTTTCCCATGTTTACTTAGCTTACACTGAAGAAAGCTTGAGGCAATCTCTGATGAAGCTGGAGAGGCCGAGGACTTCAAAAGGAAGATCCAGGCCCAAGACAGGAAGAAGGTGAAGAACTTTGGAGTATCTCTGCCGTGGGGATTTACCCAGGGGAAGGTTTAAGTTTGTACATGCAAACATGCCGTGAGTCTTCAAACGCTTGCTTAATGAGAAGACAGAATGCACGGTGTGCAGTCTGCCGGTGCAAGGGTGGCAGAACCAAGCTGAAATCTCTTCACCACGGTGAAATCTTGTCCAGAAAGACTTGGCGGGGGATTTTTCTGGTGCTTTTTTGCTGCATTCCCCTCTTCCAGCTTCTCGCTTTATTTTCCTGCGTTCTGTGGTTCAGTTTGTCTGACGCACTGACAGAGCAAATGCTGTTATCGCTGGAGGGTGGGGGGGATGCTGCTGGAGGGGATTCCAGCATGGGTTTTAGTGATTTTTTTTGTTTAGTTGGCTTTGACAAATGCTTGTGGAAGGGTAACGCTGTGTAGTTTTGACCTGAAACATGTCTGGTCCCTTGTTCCTAGACAGCACAATGATGTGTGTGTGGTGGTGTTTTTCCCTTTCTGCTCTCCAAACAGAAAACGTTCGGCAAAGCCAGGAGCTGTCATCGACTCCCTGCTGCAGTAGGTGTGACCTTGCCGTAAAAACCTGGGTGAGACGTGGCCAGACTGTGGAATTCAGGAGGTGGCACGGTTTGACGCGGCTACAAAATCCATGCCTTGCTGGTATGGAGCTTTATTTTAAAAAAATGTATTTTTCCTTAGTTGCCCGTATCTTGTATGTTATATTAACATAATATTAAACTGGTATGTATGATGGTTGTGAAATTCTGTGTGTTAAACGTGTTATTGCCAGCTCTTGCTGGCAATCCTTGTTGAGATGTATAGAAAAAGGGTTCTCTGTGTGTTCACGTGCTAGACATGTTAGCTCAAAACGGTTGATGGAATCCTGCAGTTTAAGGCTGATAAATCCGATTTATGCCCTGCTTTGCACATAACCAGCAGCTTTCACTGTTGTCCTCTGTTGCACTGATCCGTGTTTGAATGTGGGTGCTGCAAACCTTGGAATGGAGAGCATCAGACCCGTTTGTTTAACTGCTCCTCGCTGTGGCTGTTCACCTGATGGCACTGTGTGTCAAATGCACAGGCCTTGTCCCTTCACTTGCTGTACAGAGAGGGTAGGTGGGTAGGGAAAACGTGCACTGCAAAGGTCTGACGCTTCTGGGAAGGGACCGCGCCGTGTTTACGTGTGACAGAACGAGCGTGTCCAAGTAGTGCTTCTGGTTTTGTCTTTGTGTGCTCTGGCACTGTGGAGTGTGAGGCCTTTGCAAAGGCAAGAAAGCTGTTTTTTCTCCTCCTTTTAAGTCTGTGTTCATCACTGCTTTGGCTGCTTTTCACGCTTCTGAGCTGGAAGTTTTTAAAGGTGAATTGATTTGTCACCTGAACAGCGGAGGTTGTTTCGGAGGAGTGCTGGAACCTTAGGATGACTTCAGCCTTGGGGCTGCGAGCATCATGGCTCCACTTTCTCATCCCTGGCTACAAGGGCACTGGACCAGCACCCTAAACTGGGATGAATCTTTTGCCTATGTTAAACCAGGCATGAAGTGCCCCATTTTCCCAGAGCAGTAACCTCCCCTGAGAGAGCTGATGCTGTTCCTGTGTAGACTCTGTCATCTGGCCATGCTCTGAGGGGGGGGAGTTCTGGTCTCTAATAAGCATTTATTTGTGGTGGCTGCTCTTTTTTGTTGATATTTGTGCTGCTAATAGACACATATCACTTTAACACGTTGCTTTTGTGTCAGAAAACGCATCTCCTTTTGGTGTATGCTTCCCAACTCGTGCGGGAGCACATCAGCTGCAGGCATCCTGCTGGCCTCTGTGCCAGGGTGGTTAGTTTCAACTTCCTGGTCATCTTGGCTTGCCTAGAGGTTTAAACAGCTGGGATTACCCGTAGGTGAAATAGAGTCCTTAAGCATGACAGGAAGAGCGAGGCAGCCCCCTAGTTCGTGCTGGTAGTGTGTTTGCAGTTACCGGAACGTTCTTGTGCGGTACGTAGAGGAGGCCGAAGCTGATGTCCCTTTCTTGCAGCCGTGATGCAGAACGGGATGTACCCTGTGACTACCAGGTCTGTGATGGGATCTGTAACAGTTAAAACTGGTCTTAAGGGCATATTTTGCTCTGGAGTTGTGTTCAGTGCTGCTCTAAATGAGCTGTAAGCTTTTCCCCGTTTCTTTAAATGTGTTTTTCAGTATCGTGACCTCAGAACATGCTGCCCTCTGTTTTGGGGCTCGGGGGGGAGTGTCACCTGAGTTTGGACAAGACACACATGGCATTGGGTTTCAGTTCTGGGTTGAATACTCAGTGTTTGATCTGAGCTGCAGTAGGTTTTGCCCCTGCGGTGACACCTGGGATGGAGCTGGGGTTTCTTGTGTTACAAATTCTCCTCAAACAAGGCAGACTTGGAATGGCTTAAGTGCTGTTTTGTCTTGGGCCTTGCATCAGCTCTCGGTTTCTTCGGTGTAGCTTTGGTCTGTACTAGTTCTCAGAACCAGGGATAATGTGTATTTCCTTTTGTTACGTCTTGCTGCGCTAAGATTTCTTGGATGATCCTTTAAGGATCTCCTGAGCTTGGCTTTCAAAAAGACCGCTAAAACGTCTTTACCTGACCGACATTGGTGGCTTAAGGAGATAGCACTGCGAACCCTGACACTGCGTTTAAAATGTTCAAATACTGCTCAGTGTTCTGCCCTGCTGCGAGAACAGCAGCATCCACGGTTTGTGAGCCTTGGGGCTGCGGAAACACTCGCGTGCTTGCACACCCTTTAACTGCCAAGTTGTAGAAACTGGTTGTAACCTCCTGGCGTGGGGGCTTGGCGTGCAGCTTACCTGCTCTGAGAAGAGGGCTTTATCCGAGCGGAACGCTCACGGGGATCTCTGCTTGGCTTTCCTCTGCACTGGCAGGCTTGGTTCCGGTGCTGGGAACATCTAAAACCGTGGAGTCTGACTTGTGCACACTTACCCTGTGGGCCCTCTGTAGCCCTGGGGAGTCTGCCTGTCTGATGGGTCTGTGGTGTGACTTAACCAGGAAGGGGTTGGGGTTTAAGGCCTCGGGGCACCCCAGGCCAGCGTGCGCTCTGGTGTTTACCAAAACCCATGTGACCGTAACCCTGTGTGCTCAGCTGTTGCCACCGGAAGGTTCACCGTACCGTTGAGCTTCTCGACGCTGTATGTTGTGTGTTGTGTTCAATGAATTGGTTCATGTTTGACTCTGTCCTTTAAGAGGAGGGGAAAAAAATGGTCCTGAGTGCCTTTCAGTGAGTTACACTGTCTGCACAGCTCTCGCCTTGCCCAGCAGCTCTGCTCCCCCTCCTTGGCACGGAAAACCGGTGCGTCTGCATCACGTGTCTTCCTATTTATTGCTTCTCTAACTGTTTATTGCTGGTTGTTCTTTGTTTTACGATTGAACTTTATGCATTACACTGTATATATCGATGTTGTGTCCCCAGAAGCATGTTCATACCATGAAATAAAATCCTTGATTCCTAATTCCACCTCTGCGCGTTTTTAACTCCGTACACACAGTGTCTTCCCGAGTGGGAAGCTCCTGGGGAAGAGCAGAGTGGGCGGAACAGGAGGATGGTTTGCAAGATTCCGGAGATGAGCAGGAGGAGGCCGGTGTGCTGATCCCCCGAGGGGCGGATGAGCCCCTTGTCCGTGTCCTGAGCTGCCCTGGGGGCAGGGGGAGCCCAGCTCGGGTGGAGCATGCGAGAAGCTCCTTGTGCTCTGGAACAACCGGGCTGTCTTGTGTGTGTGCCCTGCCGAGGTGGCTCAGCTGCTGGAGAGGAGCATTTTCACGCTGTTCCAACTTCAAGTGTCCCTCCACAAGCCCGTCACCGCTCACGCGGAGTAGCACAAACTGACCTGTAGTAGTTGGAGAGGTTTGGCTGTGTGGATGGTGTTGGTGCGCAGCGCGTTCGTCCTCGGGAAGACGTCTCGGCCTGCTCACGCAGCAGGTGACAGGTTTTTTTTGTGGTCTGCTAACTTGGCAGCTCCCCTGAGTACTGTGACTCAGCTGATGCACGAACCAAGGCCTGCGCAGTCCTGGGACTTTCCAAAGCGCTCTCCCACGCTGTGCCAAAATAAGTTGCGAAATGGTAGACACCTCGATACCTGCAAGACTCTAGTCCCCTGCTGAGAGAGACTTTAACCGCCAGCTGGGTCTGCTGCAGGTAGAGTCATCCCTCCAACGGTGTGGTTTTGCTCCCTGCTGCTGCTTTGATGGCGGCTGCTGCTGGCCTCCTTGCTCCTGGCTCTCCAAGCATTTTGCCAGGCTATAAAGTGGGGGGGGGGGAGCTAAGGACATGGTCGGCAAGGACCTAGCATCTCCCTTTCCAGCTCTAGCACAGACTTCCAAGTTCCTGGCTTACAGAAGCAGGCCCAGTGTGTGTCCTGTCTTTTCCCATCTGGCTTCTCCTGGGCAGGTTCCTCAGCGTGCAGCTGCTTTCCTCATTAGTCTAAGCCTCAATCTCCCAGCAGGGCAAATGCTTGTCTTGTCACCTCCTGCCACCCTTGTGCCAGAGGCCTCTGGCCTCTGTTCACTGTAGCCCCATGGATTTCTTAAAAATCTGTGGTAAAGTAACAAAAGTTGTAGAATCAGAGTGGTTTGGGTTGGAAAGGGACCTTAAAGCCCATCCTGTGCCCCTGCCTGTGGCAGGGGGTGGGACTTTCCACTGGACCAGGTTGCTCCAAGCCTCATCCAGCCTGGCCTTGGGCACTTCCAGGGATGGGGCATCCACAGCTCCTCTGGGCAACCTGTCCCAGTGCCTCCCCACCCTCCCTGGGAAGAATTCCTTCCTGATGTCCCATCCCAATCTCCCTCTTTCCGTTTAAACCCCTTGCCCTGTCATGACTTCACTTATTTCTAAAGCTCCAGTTCCCTCTAGAACCTGTCCCAGCCCCCTTCTGCAGCCCTGTGCCCCACACTCCAGCCCCTTTGAACTCCCAAACATGCTCCTGTGCGCTCCAGTTCCCGGCCAAGAAACATCTTGCACAATGCCAGCAAATTTAATCCAAAAATACATTTATTTAAAGAATTATTATAAATAATATTTGAAAAATGCAGTGTCATAGTTTAAAAAATAGAGAACAAACTTTTTTCACTTAAAACTAGT